AAGCATAAATATACTGTATCTGAAGCCTTGAGCTTCCATTCGCACAACTTAACGCACATCTATATGTGCGAATGGGGCCCATTGTAAAACCAACAACGTCTTTTTCCCATTGATTCTAGGGCTGTTGTCATGGCAACATGTTCCAGCGCTCATGGCTGTGGCACCACATGGCTGGAAAATGAGCGTGAAGCTCAGAACGCCTAGGCTGACATCATGGCAGAAAGGTGCAGCCACAGGAAGACTCTGCTCGCACTTCTACATAACGCAGGTTGCAAAAGACATGGGTACCTAATGCATATATAATGAGCAATATGTGCTGAAGGACTAGCAGGTTTTCACTTCACGGAATGCGTAATTGCCACAATTTCTGCCAGTCAGAACTAGAGATGCTTCAATAATCAAATTCTGCCGGTTAATGATAAGCCGATATTTCTTTTTATAATTAATAACTGATAAATTGGTGATAGTAAAATTCTATACTGTTTTTTCTAAATAATATAAAATAAAACTCTAAAATCTAGAATCAATCAATGCTACAAGTGAAGTTAGGCATTACAACATTATAATATATAGTATGAAAAATAGATTCTAATTCTAAAAAAATGTTTAATTGCTTTAATTAAAGTTCTGTAAATTAATTTGATGGAAATACTATTATGTGGGCTCACTTAATAATCAGAAAGATGGGAATTGTTTTCCAACAACTTTTCCAACTTTTTTAATTTTCAGGATTATTTGGTGAATAAAACGTTAAAAAGAACACCATTTATTTAAAATAGAAATCTTTTGTAAGTCAGTATTTGGGGTCAGTATTTTTTATTTATTTTTTTTTAAGAAAATAATATTTTTTTTCTTTTCTTCAGCAAGGATGTGTTAAATTTGATAAAAAGTGATAGTAAAGACTTAGAGAGATTTATTTTGAACGGCTGTGTGTGTGTGTGTGTGTGACACCACAGCAAAGGTAATCTAAATGTAAAAATGGACAGAAATGAGCATAAACTTATTTTCAGTATACTGCTGTATAGTGTATATACCAAAACGATTTACATTAAAGATGTTTTTACTTACATATTGTGTTATTTTTGGTTAGGACAAAAGCCTGGATGGAGCATCTGTGTAGATTGTGGCTGCTTGTTCAGTGTGCTACAAATAAAAGAGTACTTAATATGAGTTTCAACAAAGGCGCAGGTGGTGCAGCGCGAATCGAGCACTTGACGTGAAGTCATGCGGAATGTGAAATGATTAAATGATTGATAAACTACACATATGGATGAAAACCTGTGTGGTCTGTCTCACTGGAGAATCGCATGCTGTGGAAAAGCTTTACTCTCAGTGATGGAATGGACAAATTCCCTCCCCCCTTTCAAAAAGCGTTAAGTAGTAGATGTTTCACATGCATATGCATTATTAAAACATGAATATGCATCGCTTCGACACTCAGCACCTGTCACGCTCACAGCCTTTATTTAGTATGGTTGTGTGCGGCAGTGTAGTGTGTTTCTCTAGGGCTCAGTCACACACCGTTCAGGCGCTGACCCTAGATCCAGGTGGTCTACTCTATTATTACATCTATATTTGATAATGCTCAACAGCCACTAGGTTTAAACGCTTGATTTCTCTGTGCAAAGCACACAGTCCACAGCCACTGATACAGGGATTGTGGGGAAATGAGAGTCACTGTGAGTCAACACTGACTTCTTATTTGTGGCTGTTAATATCTACACGATTAAAAGTGTTTGCATCTAAAGTTTCTAATTGCTTTAATTAAAGATCTGTAAATTAATGAATTTGATGGAAATACCATTATGTGGGGCTCACATAATAATCAGAAAGATGGGAATCGTTTTGCAAAACGATTTTGGAGGTGTAATATTGGTGTACGGTATATAACACTACCATAATGGTTTTCAGCCAATAAAATATATTTTATTATTGCGATTTAAAATAACGTTTTCTATTTTAATATACTTTCAAATTTAATTTATTCCTGTGATGCAATGCTGTCTTCAGTGTCACATGATTCTTCAGAAGTCATTCTAATATGCTGATTTATTATCAGTGTTGGAAATGGTTGAGCTTCTTATTTTATTTATTTATTTATTTATTTGGAGATTTTTTCAGGATTCTTTGATGAATAAAAAGTAAAAAAAAATTTTTTTTAAAAAGAACATTTATTTATTTAAAATGGAACTCTTTTGTAACAATATATCTTCAGTGTCACATGATTCTTCAGAAGTCATTCTAATATGCTGATTTATTATCAGTGTTGGAAATGGTTGAGCTTCTTATTTTATTTATTTATTTATTTATTTGGATATTTTTTCAGGATTCTTTGATGAATAAAAAGTAAAAAAAATTTTTTTTTAAAAAGAACAGCATTTATTTAAAATGGAACTCTTTTGTAACAATATACACTACTTAAAGGTTTGGGGTCAGTACATTTTTTCCTTCCTTTTTAAAAACAGAAAATAATACTTTTCTTCAGCAAGGATGTGCAAGTGATAGTAAAGACTTATATTGTTAGAAAAGATTTGTTTTGAACAGCAGTGTATATACACAATATATAGTATGGATAGTATGGATTTTTAATGTTGGCAGTTATCGGACATAACATTAAAGCATGTATCTGACTGTACTGACCAGAATTTTAATATTACAACATTCCTAAAGTATATATTCCTATAAGTTTATATTATATATATATATTCATACGTTTCTATTTAATTCTCTGGCTGTCCATTTTTGCCTGACGAATATAGATTTTTGTGCAAATTGTAAAAGGTTAAGTGGTTTACAATAATTATAATGATTTGATTATAGCATTATTACTTAAGGAACAAAATTACATAATGATTGAGAAAACAAATTGTCTTATTTTCTGCTCTTTCTTTTCAGTTTTTTCTTGATTTCTTCTGAACATTAATTTATACAGTGTAAGATAATAGGAATAACACCAGCCTCTTTAATTAGTCTCTAGATACGTGACTGAAGAGCGCGCCTCCAGGAAGTGCCGTCCTTTGCGGCCCAGTCCCACTGAGATCCGCAGGCTTTCACGGAGTCTCTATGACTGTGTCCTCAAGTTGTTGGTTTTGACCTGATTTACTCAGAATCAACAAAGGGCCTGGCCGCCACAGCGCTGCGATGAATCTCAAACAGGCACAGAGGTGACAAGCACTGTGTAAGGAGACAACAGTGGGCAGGTGTGCATGTCAGATTGACAGCGGAGTTTAAACGCAACTCTCCTCACGCCTCAAGCTCATGTGTGCACGCTCACGTTCCACATGTGTGATTCTGTGTAGGTAGCTGCTGGTCACTGATAAAAAAAGAAAAAAAGCCCATTTCATTTACCTGATGGCTGTCAATCAGTTTGTGGCAGCTCCATAGTGGACCCTGCCAGGGGGAATTATGGAAGTTTGTGTTTTGATGGCAGTTGTGAGACAGGAAAGCAATAGAACGAAACCGTCTCAGAGGAGTTAACACAGATGCTCACCTGTCAGTATCAGAAACGAGGAAAGTTGTGTGTACGTGTGTGTGTTTTATGTGTTTGTGTGTTCTTGTATGAAGTGAAGTCAGTGATCAGGAACAGCTAGACAGATCCTGGAGCATTCGAGTGGTCATGCCACCCTGTCTGGACCTGTTCTGGTAGTCCGTGATAAGAAAAAGTGAAAGAGCAAGTGTGTGTGTGTGTGTGTGTGTGTGTGTGTGTGTGTGTGTGTGTGTTTTAAAGATCAATCATCAAAGACCAGGTCTTCTCAGCATAGACTTGTGCTTGCTTTGATTTAGAATAAGAAAATAACTAATGCTGTATATCTCCTTAGATCCCAAAAATGAAAATTCTGTAATATACTGGAAATCATTTATTTACACACACATACACAGCTATATACACACGTGTATGTATGTATGTGTGTGTGTATATATATATATATATATATATACAGTATATATATATATATATGTCGTACATTACGGGAGTGACGGCAAATTTGTCATCCTTCTCTCTTCTGACCAATGTAATCAATCTCTCAATATTTATTCTTTTTTTGGAAAGTCATAGAAACGCTATTGTGGATTTTTGTGGATTGGGGCAAATGGGAAGGCAAAATTATATTTGTCATCATTTCTATTCACCACTATAGAGGTTTAGCCAACTATGACGACTTCCAGTTCTGAGAATCCCAGAAAATATGAAAATGGTCTCTGAACAAGGACTAGTGCTTCAAAATGAACATATAAGCACAATGAAAGTATTATAAATGTGGTCCATACAACTCATGCTCTATATTCTATATATAGTCGTTTGAAATAATATAATAGTGTGAGAAACAGACTGAAATTTCTGAACTCAAGATCATGATCAGTCTGATTTGTGATTGAATCATTCACACTGGTTTTGTGAAAAGGAACTGATTCATTGAAACGTTTTGACTCAAAAGAATGATTTGTTTACTAATTGGACATCGAAGCTTCTCTCATGAACTCTAATTAATGTTCCAAGGAAAACTAGAGAGGAGGTCAATACTTTCAGTGTATAATGAGTCAAATTCTAATCTGTTTATATGGCTTCAGAAGACTTAAGTGGTATGGACCACATTTATTATGCTTTTGTGGCCTTTTTGAAGCTTGAAAACTTACATTCTGTGTTCCACAGAAGAATGTCATGCAGGTATAGAATGTTAAATTATGTAAATTTTCGTTTTTGAATGAACTGTATAAAACCAGGTCCTCCTAGCAGAGTGCTTGTGTTGAGACAGTGCTTTCATTGATTCAGAAAAAGAAAGCATCGATAATAATGTCGTGACTCGTACGTCTCTTCAGACAGGAGCTCGAAAGGTCATGTGTTAGCTAAAAGAGTTTTTAAACTGAGTGCTGGTTTGCATGAGCTGTTTTACAAGGGTCTTTTGTTCCGCCCTCATATGACTGTAGTCTTCTAGAACGCTGCACTTGTCACATGATTGTGGCTTTCTAAAACTGATTCTTATGTCTGTGTCTCTTTATAGGTTGCAGAGGAAAGCTGTGTGGATTTGGAGCGGTGTGTGAGAGAGACCCGACTGACCCCTCTAAAGGAGAGTGTGTTTGTAAGAAGATTGTATGCACGTCTGTGGTGGCGCCGGTGTGCGGATCTGACTCCTCTACCTATTCCAATGAGTGTGAGCTGGAGAAGGCCCAGTGCAATACACAGAGACGCATTAAGGTGATGCGCAAAGGCCCCTGTGGTGAGTCTAGTCACATGCAAAACCCACTATCTATACTTGTAAGGACTGCCTGACTGTTATTCTTAGATTAAAGGGAAAATTCACAAAAAATCATCCTTGTGTCAAACTCTCTTTTTCACTGTGGAACACAAAAGAGTTTTCTCTTACAGTACATTTAAACAGTGAAACTGTATTTTTCTTACACCAGAAGTTTTTTTTTATGCCAAGGACCCCTAAATGTGATGAGGACAGCCTTCGTCATATGTAAAGGCAGCCATACATTTTTATGCATAAACATTATATACTGTGTAAGAAAAATTGTAAGCATGATATTATAAAGACAACGTGTTGTTTGTAAAATGAATAATTAAATCAAATCAAATTTAGCACATTCTTTTTGTCAATGAATGTGCTAAAGCAAAAATGTAAATATTAATTAGTAAAAAAGGTACATTAGTCTGTTTCTGGATGAAAAACATTTCCAATTCAATTTAAATAAAAATATTTAAAATATAAATATTCAACCTGAATAAAAAAAAAAAAGTTAAATTTATTTATTTATTTACTTATTTATTGAGAACTTAGAACACTTTTGGTCATTTATTATTTATTAGTTGGCTCTTTTTATTAGTTTTAGTTAGACTAATTTGGAGCATCCTTAAAAGTTGCATTTACTACATGACAGGGTCAAGTGAGATATTATATTAACACCCTTACACTTGCTCACAAATTCAAATTTTTCAAATTCAAGCAAAAACATTAATTATTCCTATTTTATGACAAGTTTCCATATTCATGAATCTCCACATGGATAGATGGTCTATGGAGTGGAGAATATGAGTTTTGTGTTTTCTACACTGTTCATCATGTATATTCCAATCAGTTTCATTCCACGAATGATAACTAATATGTGAAATGTGGCTCGTCATTAAGCGAGGCTCTGTGGCAGTGGGCCTAGCCAGCATGAGCCATAATTACGTGATTCAGTGGAACATGCCGTACAAAGCCTTCAAAGAGCACTAATTAGCCACCTCACATGCTGTCTAGCAGGAAATGATCAGTCCAGGGGACTGAACTCCAGCCTCCATTGAGAAGCGCATTAAAGATCACACTGTCCCGGTGTGTTAATGCAGTTGAAGTTCGGCTCCATGCTATTCAGCGCTGGCTCCGTAGCAGGGCTTTAATGGGCAGTAGCCTCCCTGCTATTGCGCTAATGAAATTGACAGTGTGGCTATCAGGGGTCATATCTCTCTCGCTCAAGTGAGATCAGTGGCCATACATAACGGACGGTTCAGTGTTTCTCCTGGGCAGAAAGGTTGAGATGGGAGATGAGAGTCAGGTTAGCAGATGAGTTCTACTCCGGTGGTATCCAAAATTAACCCTTGGCCATTTTTTTTTTTGCTAATAAATATGCAATATTTTTAGATTACATACAGTGGTGGCCAAAATTAACACTAGTATTTGATTGTTGAATCAAATGTTGATTTAATTTAGTTAATAGAAGTTAATTAATAAAGAAAGTCTATTTATGACATTATTTTTGACAGCACCCTCATTTTACAGCATTTTTACACAAGTGCCTAAAACTTTTAACAGTATTGTAGCTTTGCAGGAAGGTCTCTTAAAGCATCTTGGAGACGTTGCCACAGTTCTTCTGGATTTAGTCTGTCTCAGTTTGTTCTGTTTCTTCATGTCATTCCAGACAGACTGGATGATGAAGAGGTCAGATCTCTGTGTGGAGCACTGGCTGTTGTCAGACTCCTTTTGCACACAGAAATCTAACTGGAATATTACAATTAATGGCAAAATGAATGTTTGGAAATGTAAACTGATATTTCCTACTGACACACTACTGCAAAAGATAGAAATAACTGACTTAAAATCATTTTTTTAGCTGGTGAAAATACTAGTGTTCTAATAATTTTGGCCACCACTGTAATAGTAAATCTTATTCTAAATATTTTATAACAGTAAATATAAAAGTTTAATATTTTAGAAAAGTCTGTATGCTCACCAAAGCTGCATTTATTTAATCAAAAATAATGGCAAAACTGATTTTTTTCTTTACTCCTGTCTACAATGTCCCATGATCCTTCAGAAACCATTCTAATGTGCTGATTTGCTGCTCAATAAACATTTCTTATAATCAGTGTCAATGTTGAAAATGGCTATGCTGATTAATAATTATTTGGAAACTGAATCAAAAGTGGCCAAAAGAAAAATGTTTTATAGCTGGTTAGGTTTTTTCAGTTCACACTGCATTGGCAGGGGTGGCAAAGGGTTAATTCGCACCCCGGGCATGGGATAAGAGGTGATACAGAAAAAGAAATACAGAGAGGTGCCCTGTTTCTAAAGATGAGCAGGGGAGCGTGGGTGCTTTGAGAAAATTGAACTCCGGTGGGTAAACAGAGTCTCCAGCTGTTTGTGTGAGTGAGTGAGTCAGTCAGTCATTCAGAGAGTCAGCGAGCGGAGGAAAGAAGTGGAGTGTGTGCGGAGCTCATTTCAGGCGAGCCGTATGCTGGAACTCGTCTGGATTGGCAGCGGCGCAGCGTAGCATTGGGCCAGAGCGATTGATCAATGAAATGATTGATCATATGTGTGCAGAGCACGTCTGGAATTACTGTGATTGCCAGGAGCGCTGTCTTTTCTCACTCTGTCTTTTTTTTACACATTAACGTCTCTTCACCTCCAGCCTGACTCGGCTGATGAAAACCGCTTTTGAGTACCCACAGCACGGAGGAGGTGAAATCTGTGCATCAAATATTCACTCCCTAAACCAGGCCTACAACTTAAACTAGCCGCAGAGGCTGAAACTGTCGGCTTCTGTTGTCTAAATGAGGTTATTCTGCTGTACAGAAGAGAGGGGGAGGAAAAGCCTTAACCTCAGGGTATCATGGGAAGCTGCTTAATGGAGGAATCAATATGTTTGTCCCGTTATTGACGGCTGAAACTGTGTTCCTTCACTTGGGAAGTATGGCTCATTTCTCTCAGATCCTTTACCTGCTATAACTCCAGGTGTTGATACTATTGGACACATATGGGCCGTTTTTCTCCCTTGGTTGCTTCTCACACTGTCCGTCAACCGATTCTCACGTCATGGCGTGCTACATGTGTGTTTTACTGTCCTTTAATGATGTCAAAGCTGACGTTCATCCAAGCATGTAACAGTTGCAGCAGCAGCCATGAGAGACTGTTGATTTATGATCTTTCAGCAAACACATCTTAGTCAATATGAAAGCAACTCTCTGAGTTTACCCCGAGGCTAAGTAGCATAGGGATATACTGCTTGAACGCGTCATAGTAGTGATCCATCTCAGAAGAAAAGGACACAATGTGTTCAAAGAAATGATTGATTAATAATGCTTGGATGTATATGTGTGTGTGTTTGTGTGTGTGTGTGTGTGTTATATATATATATATATATATATATATATAGAATGTATGTATGTCGCACTAGAGTCACAGAAAGTGTCATTGTAGTGTCACCTTTCAGCAAAGCTTTCATATATATTTCATATATATTTAATTATTTATTCTGAAATTATTATTTATTATAAATTATATTATATTAAGCTTGACGCTAAAAGGTGTGGTGTATTGCTTGCAGTGTTGCTTTGCAGTTTCTAGGGATTTCTGTATGGTGTTTTGGTGATAGAGCCTGTACCTCATATAATATTCAGGCTCATACCTTGAACTTGTCTATGGGAATTTTTCACATTTTGTTTTATTATAATTTTTTGTTGTTGTTTTGTGTTTTGTTTTGGTCTGTTGGGGTTGTCAGTTGTTTATGCTTTTGGTTTTTGTTTTGAGTTTTATTTATTTTATTTTTTTGTTTTTTGTTTGTTTTTTTTTGTTTGCTTTTTTGTGTTTTTTGCTTTGCTTTGATTTGCTTTATGTTTGCTTTTTGTTTTCAGGGCAAAAATTCAAGTTAGATTACTTAAAAATATATTAGTACACCTCTTTTCAACACGTGACTTGATTTTAAGTATGAAGTTTATACTTCAACTTTAAGGATTTGTTAATGGTTTAGGTGTGCGTAAATGCACCTTTGTCTCCCGTATTAGAGACATGGTGTGAAAACTAACGTCCTGTTTGGCTTGATTCCCCGTGATGGCTCGTTATTCAGGCACAGCTCGGGTCCTGGTGACACCTCCACGGCCACTGAGCTCGGCAGCCGCCACCGATGGCACATAGCCAGCCCTGCCTCGTGCAAATGAGTTTTTCGCTCGCCCTGTTCCACCCCTACGTCGGCTCCCGTGCTCGTGCATGGAGACGCTCACCACAACACATTCACCTGTCTCCATGACAGGAGACTCAATTCACACTCATCAGCGGCTTCTCGGCTTCCTTACTCCATCTGCAGAAAAAACCCTGCGGTTCCTCGCTCTCAGACTAAATTTAGCTTGGGTTACGTCTACTACACAGTCTGGGCCTGTCCACCGGCAAACAATTATAGCAAGATCAGCAGTCTCCTTCAATAATGGAGTTCTTTAAATGAATTCTGGAAGCAGATACTCTGTGATCTAGCAACATCCATCATAGAGATGTTTTTTTCTTCTTCTGAAAACCTCATTCAGCTGAAAACCAGTGTGATTTTCTCATCTGAAAAATGTTGCTAATATGATCCAGCATGCTTCTGGTAAATAGTATTAGGGGTCAATGTGGATCTGCACAGGGCAATAAAACCTAAACATGCTCTGCAAATGTGATGCTTTGACCCAAAACAATTGGCAATTTTGCATTTTAATACTATTTAGTTTTAAATCCTAAGTTGTTAATGTGGTTTCAATCTTTCAGACCTCCATGTTGGGTTCCATCAGGCTCAAATCTGGTATATCACATGCAGCTTGTCTTATACAAACACTTCCACACAGCTACTCTATATAGGCTCACACAAAAACACCCAGATGTCGACGAGAATATGATCAATGCCATCACCAGAGCTTCATTCTGCTGCTTATCCCCCTGGAGAATGAGGATACTTCTTATACAAATCTGTTTCTCTCGCTCTCCTCCTCTGT